GCGTGCTCGGTAAAAAAATGACTACTTAATTAGCGCGCAGTTTTTCTATTGATTTTCGATGGTCTTGAAAATTCAAATATATTTTAAAGAAATCATAGATAAAAATATGCTTTCTTTTAGTCAATTAATAGAGAATCACGTCTTTTTGATATTTTTATACTTAAGGAAGGAGTATAATTAGGTTTTGAAAAAGTTTTCTAATTGCCGAATAATGTTGAGCCTGATCATTCGTTGCATTAGCGCTTAGTGATTTCACTCTACAAAGTGCGTTCGTTCCGCATAAAGAAAATAACATATTTTTCTATGCCATTAAACAGATATCATACAGAGTCCATAAAATTTTTCAATGGATGCGGACCATGTTGTACATTCCATGAGGAGCAGTGGTTAACGGACAGGTACGATGCTATGTGAATGGACACTTCGCGGTCTTAAAATGCGTCATAATTAGAAACTTTTTTAAAATCTAATTATACTCCTTCCTTAAGTATAAAATATAAAGAAGACGTAGTTCTCTATTAATTGAATAAAAGAAAGCATATTTTTGTTTATGGTTTCCATAAATTATATTTAAATTTCCAAGACCATCGAAAATCAATAGAAAAAATGCATGCTAATTAAGTAGTCATTTTTTTACCGACCACGCTTTCTACAGGAGATTGAAAAGAAGTGCATTTAACAGCCGACATCCTGCCGAGCCCGAAATGTTATAAGAGTATGCCACAAGACAATCAATATTACAACCGCGGCCAAGTAATCCTTCCTAATCAAAAACGCATTTTAGATTTTCAGCCAACATTTCATGAGATATGTCACTCACTGTAGATCCCCCCACTGATGGCATCAAAGCTGCTTTCTACCGCAGTCGCCGCCAGCTTCAGCAACGACTGCGCGAGATACAGGACGTCTGGACTGCCCGCAAAGCTGAGGAGATCCAGGGTTACGCAGACCGCAGCGAATGGAAGAACTTCTGCTCCGCGATCAAAACTGTATACGATCCACCGACAAAGGGCACTGCTCCTCTCCTCAACGCCGACTTTAGCACTCTCCTGACTGAGAAAACGCAAATCCTACAGCGATTGGTCGAGCATTTCCGAGGCGTACTCAACCGCCCTTCCACCATCTCCGACGTCGCCATCGACCGTTTGCCGCAAGTGGAGACCAACGTGAACCTCGACCACCCGCCATCTCTCCAGGAAACCATCAGGGCCGTGCAGCAACTCTCCAGCGGGAAAGCACCCGGATCGGACGCAATCCCTGCTGAGGTCCACAACTAATGGATTACCTGAGTGCGCTCTTCCAGGAGATGTTGCGTGAAGGTGAAGTTCCGCAAGATTTCAAGGATGCAACCATCGTGCATCTCTACAAGCGAAAAGAAACCGCCAAGTCTGCGACAATCATCGTGGCATCTCCTTGCTGAAAATCCCGGATGATCTTTGATCGCATCCTCCTCAACCGCCTGAACAACCACCTGGAACAGGGCCTTCTGCCGGAAAGCCAATGCGGCTTCCGTCGTCATCGTGGGACCAAGGAAATGATCTTCGCCACCCGTCAACTTCAGGAGAAGTGCCAGAAGATGCGGACCCACCTATACTCTACCTTCGTGGACCTGACGAAAGCCTTCGACACGGTGAATCGTGAAGGACTGTGGAAGATCATGCAAAAATTCGGCTGTCCGGAGCGATTCACTCAGATGGTGCGTCAGCTGCACGACGGTATGATGGCGCGAGTCACGGACAACGGAGCTGTCTCAGAGGCATTCGCAGTGACCAACGGAGAGAAGCAGGGATGCGTCTTATGTTCTCTGCCATGTTAATGGACACCCATCGTGATGAGCACCCCGGGATCCGCATCGCCTACAGGACGGACGGTCACCTCCTGACTCAACGGCGGATGCACTCCTAATCGCGCATATCCACAATCACCGTTCACGAACTTTTCTTCGCGGACGACTGCGCCCTGATCACCACCTCGGAAGAGGAGATGCAACGCAGCATGGACCTGTTCTCCGCCGCCTGCAAGAATTTCGGTCTGGTCACCAACACGCAGAAGACGGTGGTCATGCATCAACCGCCTTCCGACTCAGCCACAACCCCCAAAGTGCCGCAAATTAGCGTGAATGAGACCCAACTGCAAGTGGTGGAGAACTTCCCGTACTGGGCAGTACCCTCTCCTGCAACAACAAGATCGATGACAAAGTCGCCAAGAGGAGCTCGAAAGCCAGTCAAGCCTACGGCCGCCTCCAAAGCACAGTTTGGAATCGTCATGGTCTCCAACTGAGCACGAAGCTAAAGATGTACAAGGCCGTCATCCTGCCGACGCTGCTGTACAAGGCGGAGACTTGGACGGTGTACACAAAGCAGGCACGCCGACTGAACCACTTCCACCTCCGTTGTCTCCGTCGCATCCTGAGGTTGAACTGGCAGGATCGCATCCCTTACACTGATGTGCTGGAAAGGACGGGAATCCTCAGTATCTATACCATGCTGAGACAAATGCAGCTGCGCTGGAGCGGCCACCCGCCGCCAAAGCGAAACGCGAAGCTCCCAACTCTCACCTTCGCCCAGTTCGCAACGCTGACGTACAACCGCTATCAACGTGTCCTCAATTTCAACGGAAATTACGGGCTCGAATCGGACTTGTTGGGCATCTTCGGATCAACTGTACCTCGGGGACCGCACCAACCGCCATCCCTCCACCCGCCTCTTCCCCGTCCTACCTGCCGCCAACTACCTCTGGCAATTCTTCTGAACCTCCACTTCCATCCTCCTCCTCCACCACCACTTCCTGCACATCCTCCTCCTGCTCCTCAACCATTGTCCCAACGATTGCCGCTCAGGCGGGCGTCTCGCACATCACCAACCCTGACACAACAACCGACACCACTCCCACTTCCTCGGACTCCAGCGATGAGGATCAGGACTACACCTGCTCTCACTGCGACCGCACCTTCACTTCACACATCGGCCCAATCAGTCACTTGCGAATCCATCGCACAGAGACTGGCGAATCAGTGCCTGGAGCACCAAACTACACCCACAGCACTCGCCTCCACTGCCGGCTCTACCCTCGCACCTTCACGCATCGCATGGGCCTTTTCGGCCACATGCGCATCCACGAGAGCGGCATTGACCGCAGTAACGACTCATCCATTATGCTAACCCCCACCCCCACCTCATCACCCTGTGCCCCCCCCCCGTCCTTCCCGCAACTGACACCGACGCCACCGACTTCACCTGCCCACACTGTCCACGCACATTCAACTCTCGCATCGGCCTGGTTAGTCGCTTGCGAATCCATCGCACAGAGACTGGAGAACCAGTGCCTGGGGCACCAACCCATACCCACCAAGCTCGAATCAACTGCCCACACTGCCCTCACACCCTCCGGCATCGCATCCACACATTCCCGAACTTCCTCTACCACCACCACACATCAACACTCACCTACCGCAAGCACCCAACTGCCACCACCCACGCAAGTGGGAAGTCCGGATCTCGACTCGGTCCACATGCAGCTTCGGCTGCAGGGGTGACTTGAGTCCGAGACTATCCCGACACGTCAAGCGTCGTAGATAGGAAGGTCGATGATTGAGGTCCCCACTCCGTCCACGCGGTTTGTCGCGTTCTCTTTGTTGTGCAGACTGGCGGACTGGTGGGCTGGGGACGGGCTGAAGCAGCACCTTCCACGGCCCTCTCATGCAAGTGAGGGCACGCCGTTCAACCCCCGTTGTGTGAAATCCT